ACTTCTTTCTGTGGTTTGAGATAATTGCTCAAAACCTAGCTCAAAGGCTATCTTGGAAATCTCAGTTTCCTCTCTTGCTTAATTGTGAAAGCATTTACTGTTTACAGAAAACTAGCTCAAATGCTCTTTTGGAAATCTTAGTTTCCTTTCTTGTTTAAATGTGAAAACATTTACTCTTTGGGAATACATAGTCCCGATATACTCTTTTGAAGAAATGCACGTCAAACTTTACTCTTTACTCAACTCAAAACTCAAGTCTTAAAACAAAGTTAAAACATTTGTAAAAGACTTTTGGAAACTTTATGAACTTCTCTTAACTTGACTCTTGACTTCTCTTGACTTGACTGTTAACTTCTCTTGACTTGACTCTTAACTTTCCTTGAATTGAATTATGGATTCAAGGATTGTGATTTGTGATTGGAAAGATCTCATGATGTTTAGGAATGATTTTAGATACTTAATCATGAGAGATCAAGAAATCACTGCTGGGGAACTACTTTGCGACGTGGAGGTGAATTAAAATATTTGGTCGCGAAATAGCTTTTGAGGCAGAACTGTCCGTGACTACGACGCGAGGCAAAAACAATTTTGTCAAATTTGAGGAACAGGTCCGCGATGCGGACCTGCTACCTGTTCCTTGCTCAACTTTTTCCTTCTTCGTTTTCCACCCCCAATTCGCCTAAACTCGACTATTATTCTCAAGTTCTCTTTAGATTCAGATACCCAGTACGTATACACACGAATCTAACTCAAACAACTCAAGGAAACAAAATTTTAACCTCAAGGAACTCCTCAATCTCAACCTAACTCAAGAACGAAGGTCAATTTCAAGAACAACATTCAAGATGCATCAACTTTCAACTTGCTAGAACAAACTTCGCTGAAATAAACATGATTGGCGTGTGAGTGAATGAACCCAACGTTATGAAAGACTCACATACCTCTTTAGGGATCAACCCTTGTCGAAATTCACAAGCTAAACCTTCGAGAACGACGAACTTTGCTCTTTCTCCTCTTTTTTCCTCTTGCGTTCTTTCTCCAAAAATCCTAGCGTAAATCTCCAATTGCCTAAACTGAACCAATTCAGTTTTGATCCTTAGTTAATTCACCAAAAACGAATTAAAATTATAGGGTATGGAAAAGACCAAAACACCCTTTGAAAATCCGGATTGGACATTTCCTTATTTGAACAGCCCAACTTCCAAAGGGGATATCTCACTCATACGAACTTGGAATCGCGCAAACTTGACGGTGTGGAAAGATTATTCCAAGATCTTTCCAACCATACCTAGAAGTACACCTAAATCATCCTGATCTAGGAGTTATGTTCGTTTGAAGTTGACCAAAAACTCAACTTAACCAATCTTCCAGATTTTTATTATTTCTAAAAATCACTCTTTCTAATTCTAGCTCTTTCTAGTTCTTTCAATTTGCGAGATGTTACAATACCCTCTTAGGATAGAATGACTTACTTCATCAGAATAGTGGTACCTGATATTCCGCTAAACTTCGAACTCACGCAAAGATACTAAATCACACAAAATAATTTAAAATGCAAGAAGAAGAAGAGTAGAAGATTAAAAATATGGATAAATTACCTAACTACACAATATTTTTTACCTTATTTTCTATTATTCCCTACCATTTTAAAAAATTACAAAAATCCCTCTTTTCTTCAATTTCTTTCACTTTTTCAGATACATCGCTCTAAACAATCACCCTCACGATTTTTTCCCTTTTTTTCACGCCTAAAATCACTTCATGGTATCACCAATTATCTCCATCACTCCATTTTTGAATTTCAAATCTTTTCTTTTTTCTTTTCCAACTCACCAATCTTCTTCTTCATATTTCAAATCTTTTATTTTTTCTTTTCCAGTTCTCCAATCTTCTTCTTCGTCCACTTTTGTCTTTCTAATTAATCAATTATTGATTTTTAAAATTCTTTTTAGCTTTTTCATCTATAAACTTCTTATATTTATGGATGAGATATGTATGGGCGATCTTCAGAAAGAATTATCGAACAATACGAACCAAAAGGAACGGAAGAGAAGAGATGAATCGGTTGTTTGTCATACGGCGATGGAAAGTTACATATGGATTCTGATCCATCGTTTAATAGTGGTCTTACCCAATTAAGTTTACAAAAGGAAGATTTCATCCCTCATGTTTGTGATTCGAAATCGATGAAAGATGTATTCCAAGTTCTAAATTAGCCATTGAGAAAGATTCTAAAAAAAAGGGGGAAGTAGAATAGGTTACTAAACACTCCTCTCTACTAAGCTTCATATTTCAATGTATCCAATTGATTTTGATTCATAATTTAATATATAATGCCTTCGTTTCAACACCCTTCTCTACCCAAGATTCAGATTTTTTATGTATCTAGTTGATTTTGATTCATAAATTTATGTATAATGCCTTCGTTTTAACTTTCTGATACATTAAATTAATCTTTGTTAGTGTTATCACTAATTTGATACATCACTGATACAGTAACTTTCGTTGTTATGCAATGTATCATGTTCATATTTACGATATTGATTCAGAACCCTAATAGTTTCTATATTCATTACAACACACAACTATAAACATGTAAACAATAACTAAAACAAATTGATTAACATGTCTTCACAATATAGTAATAGCTAGAGTCATTTAAAGTCAATGTTTCCATTATTTTCTGGTGCCACAAACATGTAAACAAGCTTAAAACACGACATGTTAAACTCATCATCATGTTATTGCAAAAGCAAAATCAAAAAAGATATTGTTCACAAAGTTGAACTGCAAAATACATGATATTATAATAAAAAAACAGACACAAAAAGGTTAAGCTTGATCTCATCAGTAAGTATCATCACTAACAAATAGCTCGACCTTGTTTTCATTCAGATTTAGATCACCCATTGCTTACTCCGAACCACTGCTTGCCGCGGCCAAAATATGGGGATCGTTATAGTTCCTGATAGCTTGCACAATTACAGTAACTTTCTTGTAAGGATCAGAGCAATTGAATATATCTGAACCATCTCTCCAATCATCTACAATGGCAGATTTGAGATTCAAGATTTCGAATTGATGGAGAAGATGAAAATTTGATTTTTTAATTTTGTGAAGTTGTTACAGATTGGAATAGATTGATATTAATCAGGTTCTGCGTGATTTGTGGGAAAGAAAATAAGTTCTGCGTGATTTGTGGGAAATAAAATCAATTTTACGTTAATATTACTTATTAAGTGCAACATACAAGTTTTATAATATATCACAATTAATGTATCCAGATGATTAATATTTTGAGGGATTTTTGTAAAATAGAAAGAGTAGGGATATAATGTAATTTAGGGTCTTACACTATGTGATTTATGTAAGTCATACTAAAAAAATTGTGGTTGAAAAATGAGAGGAAGCCCCTCTATTTATAGTCAACAAATTAAAGGGTACTATGAACAAATGCTTTTTTGTGTCTTATCTGAAAAGTCATGACCTTTTCGAGAAGTCACAACCCTTTGGAAAAGTCGCAATTTATTGAAAAAGTCGCAACTCTTTGGAAAAGTCACAACTCATCGAAAAATCACAACCCTTCGAAAAGAGTCACAACTTATCGAAAAAGTCACAACTCATCGAAAAAGTCACAACCTAAGTTAGGAATATTATAGTAATTTAACATTCAAGTTAGGAGTTTATGCTTTTAAGGTAATATATATAGATATGATGATATACGATGTGATATAGCTTTTTGCCCTGCAGATCGAGAAACTTGTGTCAGAGCTATAGAAGCAAAGCATAACTCTTGCATAATGAAATGGAATTACTTTTGCAATATGCAACAGTACCACTAGCCAAAGATATACTTATACAAACAATTAAAGAATTTCATAAAAAATCACCAATCCCAAATAAAGCTACAGGAACACCAGCACAAGCAGCAATGACCTTTGGTTCCTAACCCGTATGATTACTAGAGACCAAAAAGAAGAAAGTTGCTGCAAAAGCTCCCAAGAGCATGCTAACTATCGAGACAAATAATGTTGTGAGTCCAAACAATAACTATCATTGATGAATAAGTAATTTCTGAACAAGAAACGTTAATAATACCACAACAATATACATATACTCTTATAGTATCATTGACTAATGAATAATTTTTGAACAAGAAACCTTAATGATACCAAATACAATAGTATCAGTTGAACGAAATTATCAGTCTTAATGATACAAATACAATATATGATACTGATTTAGTATCAGTCTAGCGAAAATTATCAGCCTTAATGATACCAATACATTATATGATACTGATCTAGTATTAGTTAAGTGAAATTATCGGCCTTAATAAATGAGGGTTATAGGTTGTAATTATTTATGAGAGAATGGATATTTGAGGAATTACTTTGGGTTTGGGTATGAACTTGTAATTGTTTTAAATTTTAAGGCCCATTTTGAACTTGTTGATATTGTTTACGTTGAGACAGTATTTATGTTTGGCATAATACATATATTAGCCCCTAAACTTGGCTTCAAATTTTAAGTTTGACCTCCAACTTTCACAGTGCACAAATAGACACTTTAACTATCCAGACTTTTAATAAATAAACCCGCGATTTTTGGACCAAAGTGCGTGAAATGCAAACGCTTCCACGTGTTTAAGTGAGCCAATCAATGACTGCCAACTAATTAAACATTTTACATGTCAATTTTAGAACTAAAAAATAAATTAATTAATTTCAATTAATAAAGAAGGGTTAAAACATTCCATCTGTTCATTTCACGTACACAATTCAAAATCATCTCAAAGTGAAAGTGAAAACCCTAGGTCAGCAAGTGAATCAAAATTTGGGAATCAAAGGGGGAAAATCATTCAAGATTTTTAGGGAAGTTGATGTTCATCTGTTCAGGTATGCCTAAATTTGCCCTTTTGAAAGTTTATCTTTGATACAAAGTTGAATCTTTTTATCACCATTAATGTAAAATAGTTATTTTCTTACAGCTTTATACATATGGGTCATATTATAGCTATTTTTCACCATGGAGGTCGCATTTATAAAGGTCAATATGTGTCGAAATTGGGAAACATTGTATTTAGCATAGATAAGGATCACTTCTCTTTGACCGAACTGAAATCGTATGCAAAAGACATTGGATATGATGAAGTTGATGCTTTTTTTACTGAAGACCCTATTACCCATAATTTTGTCAAGATAGAAAGTGACAGCCAACTATATAACTTTGTTAAAGATTTGTGGAGTGGGTCATTTTTTAAGTTGTTTTTGAAGCATGTGACTGTTAAAAAGGGGGGGTCCACTGCTACACCTACTTTGGGACCATTTTCTGTTGAAAATAATAATCAAGAATTGGGAAATTGCTCTAGGGTTTCACACACTGAACATGGTATAAATGGGGAAGGTGAAGTTGAACAACCATTAGATGAAGAAAATGATGATTCTCTTAACTTTGAAGAGGATAACTTAGATGATGTTCCAGATCAGGATGATAGTGAAGTTGATGAAGAATTGAGAGCTTTTAGAGAAAAACTTAGGGAAGACAAACAAAATGAAGCTGCAAAGCAAAAAAAGAGAACTAAAAAACTCTCAAAGGATCAAGGTGTTGAGCTTGGAGAAGTTGGCATAGATAAGGGATTTGAGAATATCTTCACCAATAAGGCAGCCAAATTTAATGGGAAATTGGGAGGTGATGAATTGTTTATTGATTCATCAGATGAACCAAGTGAAGATAATGATGAGGAGCTAGATGTTCTAGCACAACCAGGTGTTGATTTACCTTCAAGAAGAAAAAGCAACAAATTGAGGTATGATTCTTCTTCATCCGTTTCTTTCTTTGAGTTGGGTATGATATTTGAGAGTGCAACTCAATTTAGAAAGGCTGTTGCTGATTATGCTGTTCAACATAAGGTTCAGTTAAGGCTTAAGCCCAATGAACCTCATAGAGTTAGGGTAAAATGTGAAGGGAAGTGTAAATGGGAAATCTTTGCAAGCTTGGATAAAGATTCTGGAATTTTTTTTGTGAAGAAATACTATCCTGCTCATAGATGTATTTCAAAGAATAAGAACAGGTTGTGCACAACCAAATATGTGGAAATGAAGATGAGGGATAGAATAATATCTCAACCTGACATGAGAGTTCATAAGCTTCAAGAGATACTAAAAAAAGAATGGGGCTTAAAAGTGGGAAGATCAATATGTTTCAGGGCAAAAATGAATGTTATTGCCAAGTTCTTGGGTGATTGGAAGCTTGAGTTTTCAAGGTTGTTAGACTATGCTGACATGATTAAGAGTACAAATCCTGGGAGTTCTTGTTGGGTTAGAACTGATAATGAAACAGTCAATGGCTTACACTTGTTCAAATATTTCTATGTTTGCTTTGCTGCATTGAAAAATGGATGGCTGGAAGGTTGTAGGAAGATTATAGGATTGGATGGATGCTTTCTGAAGGGTGCTTGTAGAGGAGAATTATTAGTGGCTGTTGGAAAAAATGGAAACAATCAAATGTATCCAATAGCTTGGGCAGTGGTTGATCAAGAAACTAAACACTCTTGGAGTTGGTTCTTAAACTATCTCATTGAAGACTTGCAACTTGGTGATGGAAGTGGCATAACAGTCATGTCTGACATGCAAAAGGTATTTATTCTGCCTTTGTTTATTTATTGCAGCTTACTGTCTTGTGTTACTGCCCTGTGTTACTGTCCTGCATTACTGCCCTGTGTTACTGTTTTGTGTTACTGCCCTGTTTTACTGTCCTGTATTACTGCCCTGTGTTACTGTTTTGTGTTACTGCCCTGTGTTACTGCAAAAGATTTAACATCATGAAGACATGATTAATTTTGTCAACTGTTTTTGCAATCAGTCATTTGCGCAGGATTGGCATTCTGTTTTTGGTGCAATTGGTCTGTATGGGAATGATGTTGCAAACTCACAATTTTATCATGTAGAATGACTTTATGTCACTGTAAAGGGATAATTAAGTATGATGAGCTGATTCATTCTATTTTTTGCATCTTGATCTTGTGCTATTTGTTTGTGGGTAGTTTGTTGAATCACTTTGTAATAAAAAGTTGCAAAATATTCTGTCTAAAAGGTTGCAAAACATGCAGCTATTCACTTAGTGTGTGAAGTAAGTGAAGTGTGCCTTAAAGTTATTGATTTAATATTTCTTAGGGTCTTGAGGTAGCAGTTGAAGTCTTACTTCCTAATGCTGAAAGAAGAATGTGTGCAAGACATATTTGGGCAAATTGGCAAAAAAGATGGAGAGGTGAGGAAAGGAGAAAAGCATTTTGGAGGTGTGCCAAAGCTAGCTTTGAGGTTAAATTGAGAGATGAATTTGAATATTTGGGAAAATTGGGTGATAGAATATGTGAGGCATTGCTTGGATATAACAAAGAATATTGGTGTAGAGCTTTATTTAGTGAAAGATCAAAGTGTGATGTGGTGGAAAATAATATGTGTGAAACATTTAATTCATGGATTGTTGGTCCTAGACATAAATCTGTGATTAGTATGCTTGAAGATATTAGACATAAAATGATGGATAGGCATGGAGATATGATTAAGTTTGTAGATACTTGGATCGGTGACATTTCACCTATGGCAAGATTGATTTTAGAAGAAAACAAAGAGATTGGTAGGACACTAAGGGTGAATTGGAATCATGACATTGGATTTGAAATTCAAGAAGGAGAGTATAGACACATAATTGACATGACTAGAAAGACATGTAGTTGTAGGTTGTGGCAATTGAGGGGCATACCTTGCCAACATGCAGTTTGTGCCTTATATCACATTGGGCAAGAACCAGAAGATTATGTGGAACATTGGTACAAAAAAGATACATTCCTAAGAGCTTATAAGTACTTCTTACAACCCATCTCCAATATGATAATGTGGCCTGACACCAATAACCCACCAGTTGAGCCTCCTGAAGTGAAGCCGATGCCTGGAAGACCAGGTAGATGTAGAAGAAAAGATAAAGATGAACCGAGAAAAAAGAAGTGGGGGAAAGCATCAAAGAATGGAGTGAAGATGTCATGTTCCAAATGCCATCAAGTTGGGCATAACAAAAGAACTTGTAAATCAGTGGTAAGAATTTCTGTATTTCTTGTAAGTTTTAATTAGTTTTATACTTCTAATTTTGTATCTTTATAGCCCTCTCAACAGCCCACACAACAGCCTGCAAGGCCTTTTCAACAACCACCAGTGAGGCAGCCTTCACAACCACCATTGAGGCAGCCTAGCACTAGAAATGCCTCTTCTTTATGTGCAGATACTTCAAAGGTTAAAGGAAGGAAAAAAAAGGAGCCAATTGCAAGTGCAACATCTTCTTCAGTTGGAATGCCACCACCGTCTTCAGTTGGAATGCCACCAGCTCTTTCAGTTGGAAGAAAAAGAACAAGAGATGTGGGATTTGGTGTTTACACAGACATACAAACTGGAAGAGAAGTGATTAACGTATGTATATTGCCTTCTTTAATTTATTTTCTTACATCTTTATTAAGGTATACTAAATAATGCCCTATGAATTATGTAGCCAGGAAGATCAAGTGAAAGGGTTATCTCAAGTGGAACAGGGATAGCATTTAAAGATGCATCACAAACAAATGTTGATCTTGGATTCAAGCCACCTGGTTTGAAATGGAAAGGAAAAGATGCAATGACTAGAAATCAACTTCAACAATTGTCAAAGAAAAAGGTGCAAAGCAAATCCAAGGGCAAGTGGGTTCCATAAAAGTTTAAAGTGTTAATGATGTGTATAAATGTTGATCTAGGAGGTCTTTGTTTTTGTTTATTTTGATAAATGTTTGTAAAGGCATACTCCAATTACTAATCATTTTGATGTATTTTGGGTAATTTTGATGTATGTTTGCATAGACAAATCTTTGGAGGGTATTTAGTTGTCCCAGTTTAATGGATATTAAGTTATGTTTTGTGAAGTCTTTTGGTGTTTGTTATGATTGATGTTAGGCTGCCTTGATGTTAGGTGTTTACTATGTATGAAAGTGTGTGAATCATGCTAGTATGAAAGTGTATGAATCATGCTAAGTAATGCCCTTGTAAGTTGTAAAAGTGATGAATATTAAAACTAATGTTGAGAGGCAAACTGCTGCCAACTCTAAAATAGTGCATTTCACATCCATTATTTTGATTGCTTACAATAGATAGTGGTAGCCACTAACCCATAAAGAAAACTATTTTACGAACAAAACGATTCTGGCATAACTTTTTCAACCAATCTACATAACATTTACTACATAAAGAACTCTCTATAAATCCAAGATAGTATCACAATGATCAACAAAACTCGATATTTCCTCCTAATCTTTTCCTTTTCTTCATCATGTTTTTTTATCCTCTTTTGTAATCCCGAAATAGCAATTCTAGCGTGTTCAGTATAATCAAGTTCACACCACCTAAAAAATTTGCATCCAACCTGTTTAAGAAGAACAAATTCACTATCAAAATTGAATCTTGAGAACTAAAATTTAAACCAAAAAAGATGTTTTAAATGAAACCATACCCGACCATCTTCACATCCAAGAAACCAACGACCTGGATTGTTTGCAGACCAAGAAATCTTCATTATAGCTCTTTTTCCACAATGACAAAAAAAATTAGAATCCATTTGCACTAAATATGAGCACAAATCGTTTTAAAGAGAGGAAAAAACTTGGTTTGAAAGAGGAGGAAAAGAGAAATGAGATTTTGATTTGGAAATATAAAGAAATATATATAAAAGGGATTCATTAAGGGTAGAATTGTCATTTCAGCATTTTTTTACCGTTGTGGGCCTCGAAAATAACTCCCAACTCGCGCAGAATTCGTGCATATCACGCATTTTGCCAGGTAGGACTCGCGGGTTTATTTATTAAAAGTCTGGATAGTTAAAGTGTCTATTTGTGCACTGTGAAAGTTGGAGGTCAAACTTAAAATTTGAAGCCAAGTTTAGGGGCTAATATATGTATTATGCCTTTATGTTTTACTGAGTATTTCCAGTTAACTATTGAGAAATTCATAACTGAGATATGTTGAGATCGATTATGTACTTTGAGGTTCCTATTTCACTTGAGTAAGTCTTCCGCTGAGTAATGAGCCAGATCAAGGGTTTGCTTGGGGACCAGCAATGGTTCTCGAGTGCCGGCCACGTCCAGGATGTAGACCCGGGGCGTGACATGAGCGAGATAGGAGAGAGGCAAATGAGACAATCAATGTATTTTCAATACATGTAAACCACTCTTGAATAGAGAGTGTATTTGAAATATATTCGAGATACTTGTGTCTGGTGAATAAAAAGTGGCACAGACAGATAATTTTCTAAACTGATGTAAACACACGTATATACTCCTATATGAAAGAAGGTTCTATTGTTAATCGAATTTGTGCTTGGCCGATCTAAAAAGAAACTTGGACCAATATGTTGATTTTGCTACATCAAACCATAATTTATACTGTAAACACCCAAATAAAGCCACAGGAACACCAGCACAAGCAACAATGAGCTTTGGCTGCCAACCCGTATGATTTCTGTAGAGCAAAACGAAGGTTGCTGTAAACGCCACGAGCATGCTAACTATGGAAACAAACAACGCCGTAAGTCCGATGAATAACTTAGCAGGCAATGACACAAGAAAGTCATCTTCAGCATAGCGAGATGTCAGAATGGACAAGAACATAATGATGGAAATGATTTGAGGTGAATAGTGCCACTGCATCTGACATAACAAAGACTGTAAATCCATTCAATTCTAGCCATATTGGAATACCATTATCATCCTTATTACAACCTGTCACAGTGAATCAAGCAGCAAACACCATCGTGGCAATCAAAGTTGCTGCAATCATGCAAGAATTTGCAGTGTCTTTCATCCACTTTTCTCCATCTTTTAGTAATGCCTTGTGCTCTTCTGTGAAAAGTTCCCTAGGGGTTTTCCCATCCTTGTGGAATGAAAGCGGTACAAGTTTCTCCACTTCCTATAGTAATTATCATTCCGCATCAGCAAAGAATTTCAAAACAACAAAAACTGTGAAATTTACATCTCTCACTTGAACCACAGTATCTCTCTTTGCATTTGGAGTGCTGCTCCAGAAACCTTAAGAAATGATGGCAGCATAATCTTCTCTACTTCCTATATATATTTTCTGTATCGTGTTAAATTGGAAGGAAGCTAAGCAACATGTATGTTTTAAAAGAGAAGAAATTAAATACCTTAACAGACTGTGTCTCTGTTATGTGTCTAATGATTTCTATCTCTTGAAACAGCTGTTGTAGTGATTCAACGAATACAACATTATTATTATCAGCATTAGGAGGCACAGACTGAACAAGTTTGTTTTTCAGGGCTTCCATCTGTCCACTACTTTTCTGTTTACTGAATATTGGCTCCCCCAACTTGCCAGCCAAATGTAGAATGTTATTTCCATCATTGTCAAAATCTACAAGAAATATGTTTTTCATTCCTCCTATTTGGTGTATAAGACTGAAGACTTTTTCCTCTCGATATAAAACTGCAACATGAAGAATGGTATGCCTTTTATCGTCATTCGTCCACATAAGCACAGGATAATCACGAGTAACCACAAGTAAAAACCCTAGATTTCCTGCTTTTGCAGCAGAATGGACCCAGTTTTCTTTTAATGCTACATCTGCCAGAAAAAAATAGCGATAAAAAAGGATACTTCTTTGTGTTTATAATTTTTATAGCTAGCTTACCATACATTTCACTCTGGATAGTGATGTGTAGAAGGTTTAAGCGTTCTTGTTGCTGTAACAAATCAAAATTTGTGACCTCAAAAAGGTATGATACCATATCTTTATGCCCAATGGAAGCTGCCGCAGTAATTGGTAATTCTTCGTCCTGACCTTTATTCTTTCTGCAAGCCAAGTATAATAAGTGCATTGATATAAATGTAACAAAGTCAATTTAATTTGAGCGAGAATCATTTTAGTTAATTAGTACTTTTTTCATAAATAAAAGAGTATAGGATAAACACTTTTTGAATTAAATTTTCTCCTAGAAAATTGATTATAAATAGTTCAAAAATTAGTTGTATGTTGCGAGAACATTTAATTTCAGGAACTAGAATTTTTGATTTAATACTAATGCTTAACTTATATGCACATGCATTCATATATTAAAAACAAACAGACTTAATTTTGAAAGTAAAGGAGGGCTTAATAAAGAATATATACTTAGATCCTTCAAAGTTGAAATGTGACAATGATTGAGTTTTTTTTTTTTTTTTGTAGAAAAAGGAAAACCAAAATTCTTACGTGATTGAGGTGGAATAAGTTCCTTCATATTGTTCAAACAAAGAACAATCATTCTTTTTTTCCTTTTTGACTCTTAAGACAAGAATATAAATAAACAGAGTAAACTATTCTTTTTCCAAGCTAAGTGTATTAAGTGTAGTAATATGAGAGTAACAAAGTCAGTTTAATTTGGGCGAGAATCATTCTAATTATATAGGGAGACTAATTTTAGATACGTGCTTTGCATGTGTATTTCATATTATCACATAATATCATAAATATAAAAAATATCTCTTAACACGTGTTTTGCGCGTTAGATTATTATTATTATTAGTATAATAATAATAATAATAATAATAATAATAATAATAATAATAATAAATGTCCATAATTTGTACAGAAAATGAATGTGTTCAATTTTGTGTTTATTATTTATAATAATGTATAAACAATTTTTTTATATATATACAAATAGCAAATGAATAATTTTTATATTAAAGGGTAAGATCGTACTCCAATTTTAAGGTTTGAAGCTTTCTACTTTTAATAACTCAACTATCAACTATGGATTCACCTAACTTTAGTTCTTAACCGATGATATATTACCTTCTGTTTTAAGGTAGCATAGATAGATATTCTATTTGTCACAAAAATAATTTCTCTTTATTTCTTTGGGTTAAAACTTTATGTGAAATTTCATTTAAATGCAGAAAGAAGATGCACAATATTATTATTTTACATAAAAAGGAGTTTGAATTCCCTTTAGGGAATCTATAAATCCTTTACATTTGTCTAAATAACTAAAGTCATGACTTTAATCTTTTGGCTGGTGAATTTACTTTTAGTCTTGTTCATTCATGAAGCATGGAATTGTGTTTGTGGAAGAAATATATCGATGTGAAACGTACGAGCTTGGGTAGTACAACAACATTGTTCGAGGAGCAGAGCTAGAAAGTAGAAACCCCCTGCTGCTAGATAAAGCAGAGGTGGGCTTCATGAAGGACTTTATCGAGTCATCCTTATGCGTCACAACTCTGTGTATGTTACTTTTGTTATCGTTGGTGCTTTACTTGGTGAACAAGTAATGGATCATGGGGTTCATAAGCTCTAGGAGAACAACAATGTTGAGAAGCGTTATGATTGAGAATGGAATAAGTTCTTTATATTGTTCAAGCAAAGAATAATCATTTCTTTTTCTCTTTTTGTCACTCTAGACACGAATATAAATAAACATAGAAACAATCATCGGGGTTCAAGAGTTTTCTCTATCCTTATTTAGTTTCTGTTAGCAGTGCATTTCGAAAACAAGAGTGCAGATATAATAATGGAGAGCAAGTTTTCCCATGATATTGAACCAGTTGCTCAGGATTGTGAAAATAATGAACAATTTGGGTCTCGAGACAGAAGGGATATTGAAAATCAACTTCCCGACTCTGTACTAATTCTTAGTAAGTTCACAACTATATATCTATTTCTAGATAACGTAAATGTCTTGAATTTTTACAACAGCGTCATTAAGTTTAATTAATTTGTAGATGGAATGAAAGTGAATTATGAAAATGTGTGTGAAATTCTTTGGCGGGCTGCTGTGGAAGATAATTGGAGGCTTGCTGAACAAATTTTTAACAAGGATCCAAGCTTTGTTCGTCAAACGATATCGGACCAACTTGGAACAATACTTCACATTGCAGCAACAACAAAAAGCACCCGATTTGTGCGAGAGCTAATGAAACTGATTGAAGTAAGTGACTTGGAAGTGAAAAATAAATACGGGAATACAGCTTTTTTTCTTGCAGCAGGGTCAGGGTTCATTGAAATTGTTAAAGCAATGAGGGGAAAAAATGAGAATCTACCGAACATCCGTGGTTACCAGGAAAGATTACCAATCACTTTGGCAGCTCTGAAAGGGTATAAAGCTATGGTATCATACCTTTTTGAGGTCACAAGTTTTGATGTGATACAACAACAAGAACGCTTAGACCTTCTTCGGCACACTACCCAGAATGAGATGTATGGTAAGCTATAATGGACTAGTGATGTATGTTGTTTATTGCTACTTTTCAATACCCTACAGATGTGTACTTGTATCGCTAAGTTAATTAATTCGGTTTTCTTCTTGCAGATGTAGCATTATATATACTTAAGAAGGACAGAAAATTAGCCAGTGAAACGTTACAAGAAAGTGTTAGTGTCTTACACATTCTATCTGGAAAGTCCTTAGTGATCAGTAACCGCGAAGAAAATTTGAAGAGATTCATTGAAGGAGGTTATTCTCCGGTTTGGAGCAAGTTTATTAGCTTGATTTTCATGGCCAGGAGTCAATTCTTTACATGTAAGGTCTACTTGACCTTCATCAATGTCTCATTATTTTGTACCAAGACAAGCTTAATTAATATCATTCGTTTGTAGTGCTAAAATTGCTTCAAACTTCGGGGGTACTCCCAGAAAGATATGTACCGGAGAAACAAGCAGGTCTACTACTTGAGGAGCTATTGGCGGAGTGTAAAAGAAGTGCAAAGGATAAGCTATCGGACGTACTGATAAATGAAGGCTTGATCCGTTGGGCTGCAATAGCAGGAAATGTAGAGTTTTTAGTTCTGGTTATTCACAGTTATCCTGATCTTATAAACTACCTTGACCTAAAGGGCCGGACCATTTTCCATGTTGCGGTTTTACTTCGAGAGGAAAAAATCCTCAGTCTTATACATCAAATAGGAGGAATGAAAGACTCTCATCTTCCAAGATGTGATATCGATGGAAATAACATTATACATTTGGCTGGGAGGTTAGGGGTCACAAATTATGTTGATAAGGTATTTCCTCTCTTTTTAAACTATACATGTTTCTTTCATCTACCATTTCCAATTCAACATAGATACAGGAAATATTGTATAATAATAGTGTTTAGGTGAATTATCATTGTTTAAATAATGAGCTGGCCAACAGGACAAGATTATGCCGCCATCGTTTCTCAAGGTTTCTGGAGCAGCGCTTCAAATGCAAAGAGAGATAATGTGGTTCAAGGTGAGAGATTACATAAAACTATATTTTCCACTTCTTGTTATATGTATACTTAAAGGCATTCATTTTTAGCGTTTTCATTAATGGGAAGAGTTATGGCTCTCAAAAATTTTTGTTGCTGCGGAATGATAATTACTAATTGACTAGGAAGTGGAGAAACTTTTACCACCTTCACACCACCAGATGAGAAACAAAGCTGGAAAAATGCCAAGGGAATTATTCACCGAAGAGCATAAGTTATTACTAAAAGAAGGGGAAAGGTGGATGAAAGACACTGCAAATTCTTGTATGATTGTAGCAGCTTTGATTGCCACGATGGTTTTTGCTGCAGGCTTTACTGTGCCAGGCGGTAATAACGGCGATAATGGTATTCCAATATTGCTAAAATTCAATGGATTTGCGGTCTTTGTCATATCAGATGCAGTGGCTCTATTCAGCTCAATCATTTCCATAATTATGTTCTTGTCCATTCTGACGTCTCGCTATGCTGAAGGTGATTTTCTTGTGTCATTGCCTGCCAAGTTATTCTTCGGACTTACGGCGTTGTTTGTCTCAATAGTTAGCATGCTCTTGGCGTTTACAGCAACCTTCTTTTTGGTCTACAGTAATCATACGGGTTGGGAGCCAAAGCTCATTGCTGCCTGTGCTGGTATTCCTATAGCTTTATTTGGGTGTTTACAGTATAAACTATGGTTTGATGTGGCAAAATCGACATATTCGTCCAGGTTCTTTCTTAGACCAGGAAAGCACAAACTCTTTTAACAACAGAGCCTTCATTGCAGATAATGGTTGTATATATGCAAAATCCTACATCATCATAGTTGCCTCGACACTAAATCATAAAACACAAAAACTTGCAATTGAACAACTATATGTGCATTCTGTATTGTGGAGGAAAGATTACTGTTATTGAACAATGCAACTTCAAGTGTAAAAATCTTTGAAGTTTTGAGTGATGTAGAAAAGTTTGATTTGTATATGTAGCGCAAATATAAGAAAAGTCATGTTTCTTGATAATCTAAGTTCACAACTTCACATTTTAGACAACTTTTGTATATCAACCTGAAGTCTTACAACTGAGAAATATATATCTACTGCATTAGATCGAAGAATTATGATGTGATCAAACACAAACAAAAAGATCAACTAATTTTGATCCATTGCTAGATGTTGAGCCCAGTACTGGCGTAGCAACATGGACAAAATATTGGTCAATTGAACACTCTTTATCGGAAAACAGTCTGAAGGTACCTCATCGGGCTATCAACCTACGAAAGCTACCCTTCTTCCCGAATAGCAAAGTCAAACACAACAACAAAATTCATTGCATAATAGCCGAAACACTTAATTATTAAAATCAGCTTACATAATAAGAATATTCCAAAGTCATGAATCGATTTGAGAGTCCGCTTATCTTCTTCCTATTACTGAACTTAAGCTGATGTATCAAATATTCTTAACTTTGCTAAACTGAGCACTAATTAATATGTATTGATTGGGTTCAATATACTGAAACTACGGTAAAATAGGTATCTCGAAAATTTCATAAATTCATGGTATATTCATAAGAGATCAAGATGTGGCCTCCTAGCTACATTCAAAAAATACGCTATTATAGTCCTCAAATCACTGAGAAATTTAGAGAGAAGAATCAAAGGAGGAACAAAATAGCCTAACTCCGTTTTCTTGCTATGTATCATAATTGTAAATAAAACCCCTATAACTTTCCAAATATGTGCAGCAACTTCTCCTTCACCAAAAGTGTGTTGAATGGAGTCAGAAGTAGGAGCTCGTAATCTGGACTTGGTACAGTGTAAATATATACACTATATATTCAGCATATTAGTACAATTAGGATTCTCCTTCTGTGACCTTTATTTTCTTTAGAAGATAAGTATATAATTATTATATTCGTAAGGAAAAGAGTTACTTACTCTATACATATATACATACACCTTTAATACAAAGTTCTCTCTTCTATTTTCCTTGGCCTTTGTACTAGTTTAATTTGTGAATGTTCCTCTAATGACTGTCTAAGTTTGTTTTCTTGCGATATGTCGTAATTGTAAATGTATATTGTATTTTCAGCATATTTGTATAGTTATGATGTCACGCCCCGAGCCTACACCCTGGGCGGGACTGGCACTCGAGAACCATTGCTGGCCCAAAGCGAACCCTTGGCCTGACTTACTTACTCAGCGGAATACTTAATTCAACAAAGACAAGTCTATGTAATAAACTGGAATGTTATAAAGGAACATTCAATTGGCCATTAAGGCAAACTCAAGTCTTAACATAAGATTATGACAATGAAAATAACTAATATCTGACTGTGTATGAAGCCTCTAAAACAACTGAGATGGATGTCGAGACAAACCCCACGACATCTTAATGAACTAATAAAATAACTGAAAGAAATAAAAATGAGTCTTCCGGACTGCAAGGAGGCTCACCAACTGACTCTGGAGTGCTCCCTGGATCAACGATGCGCTGGATGCCGATCCTAGTTACTTGTGTCTGCATCATAATACGATGCAGGCCAGCTGACATCAGTAAATTGAATGTACGAGTATGCGAGTTGAAATGCTAAACACAACATAGGCTTGAAAAGAATTTGAAGAACTTACCTGGCTCAACTCAACTCAACATAACTGAACTCATTTCAATATAAAGCAGTGTAAAACAAGTGCAATATAAAGAAAACCTGTTTAAAACATGATGTCAACTCTGTGTATGCAAAGATACATATAACTCTGAGATGTATGTAAAAATACAAATAAACTGTGTATTTAAGAATACAATTACTTCTGTGGGAGTTTCTTTAACCAACAACCATCACGTAAAAGCTATTGTGATGATACAACATTTTGCCTCATTCTGCCAGGGCCATCCTATACCTTGCCGAAGGTATAGAACCTGAACTACTAAGTGGATACACTAGTCTATGCTAAAAAGTACTAAAGGAATCATCTAAAAAGTATGACCATTTTCTACCCATAATGGTACATGGTTTATGAGGGCTGTGAGTTGTTTGAACTCTCCCCCATATCGGTACTCAATACTACTCCCAAAAATGTGATATTAGTTCTTATGTTTAAAAACATACTTCTTTCTATGATTTGAGATAATTACTCAAAAACTTAGCTCAAAGGCTATCTTGGAAATCATAGTTTCCTCTCTTGCTTCATTTAGAAAGCGAAATCTATTTTCTGAAAACTAGCTCAAAGGCTCTTTAGAAATCAAAGTTTCCTTTCCTGTTTAAATGTGAAAACATTTTACTCTTTGGGAATACATAGTCCTGATATACTCTTTTGAAGAAATGAACTTCAAACTTTACTCAACTTGAACTTTAAGTCTTAAAAGAAAGTTAAAACATTTGGAAAAGACTTTTGGAAAACTCTAAGAGCTTTTCTTAACTTGACTCTTACTTCTCTTGACTTTGATCTTAACTTTCCTTGAATTGGATTATGGATTCAAGGTTCATGATCTCATGTTTATGGATGATTTCATGATATTTAGATGTACCTTAGACTGTTGGAATCAACTAGAAAACATAGGTACATTGCAAAGGAACAAGTACGAAAAGGTGGGGAACAAATGGGGAGAACTGGCATCCCTGGTGCTCTGAGAGGCGCGGGGAGCCAACCCTCAAAATTCAGAGAACAAGTTGGGGCTCTCTGGCTGGCGCGTTGCCCTAGAGACCCACATTCAGAGACTGTTTTGGGGAGTACTGAGAGGCGCGGCGCCCCAGCCCTTTCCCCTAAAAATCCTAAATTTTCTTCTTCGTTTTTCAACTCTAAACCCTTTAATTTCACTTAGTTCTTTCCCCAAACACTTAGAATCTTTTATACTCTCAATATATGGTAGATTCAAACCGAAATTACACCAGGAAAACATGAATCAAAGCGCAAGAAACTTCAACAACACAACCCATAAAAATTCAAACGAAACCTTCAACAATGTTCATCAAGAACTCAATTTCTAAACTTTCAAAGACTTAAATTCGCTGAATCGAATCATGGTTGGCGCGTGGTTAAACTAACCCAATGCTATGTGATCTCACATACCTCGTAGGGATTATCCCTTGACGAAATCCGCAAGCCAAATTCGACGATCTTGACGAATCTTTGTTTCTTTTCTCCTTTCTCCTCTTCTTTTCTTTTCTCTCAAAACCCTGCTAACTCATTTTTCCAAAAGCGTAAACTGAATAAATTCAGTTTAGACCCCCTAAGTAATTACCAAAAACGAATTAAAATAAAAGGTTAAGGAAAAGACCAAACTACCGTTCTAAAATCCGATTTTAGACTTTCCTTATTTGGACAACCCAACTTCCAAAGGGAATAACTCACTCATACGAACTCGGAATCATGCAAACTCAGTGGTGCTGGAAAGATCATTCCAAGAGCTTTCCTACCATATCTGGAAGTACACCTAACTCATCCTGAGCTAGAAGTTATGCCCATTTGAAGTTGACCAAAACTCAACTTATTCTAACTTGACAAAATTTCTAGATTTTCATTCTTTCCAAAAATGACTATTTCCAATTCTTAGCTTCTTCCTAGTTATTTCAAATTGCGAGATGTTACAATATCTCCCCCTTGGGAACATTCGTCCTCGAATGAGATTACTCTTATTAGGCTAAGCGTGTAACATGCAACATTCAGTTCAAGCACCCACAAACAAATGTAAAACAACATGCCAACTTATAAAGAAATACTAAGAAAGGATTAGTACCTTAATTCGAAACTTCTCCGGATCCGAAGAGATGTGAATATCTCTTCTTCATATCCTCCTCAGCTTCCCAAGTAGCTTCTTCAACAAATTGGTTCCTCCAAAAGACTTTGACTGATACTACCTCTTTTGTTCTCAACTTGCGAACTTGGCAATCTAGAATTTGAACTGGAATCTCTTCATAAGATAAACTATCCTTGATCCCAATATCTTCAGTTTGTATGATAATGAAGGATCGTCCATACACTTCTTCGACATGAAGATGTGAAACACTGGATGAACCACGGCTAACTCTTGTGGTAGCTCCAACTCATAAGCTACATTACCTACCATTTTCGATATTTTATAAGGGTCAATATACCGGGGACTAAACTTCCCATTCTTACTAAATCTCATAACACCTTTCATGGGTGAAAATTTAAGATATACCCAATCATCTACTTCAAACTCTAACTCCCTTCTCCTAACATCAGTGTAGGATTTCTGATGACTCTGCGCCGTTTTCAACCTCTCTTGAATCATTTTCACCTTCTCAATAGCTTGATGAACCAAATCTGGTCCTATCAACCCTATTTTACCAAATTCAAATCATCCAATAGGAGATCTGCATCTTCTCTCATAAAGAGCTTCATAAGGAGCCACATTTGGATGCTCAAGTGGTAAATATTGTTGTAAGAAAACTCAATGAGAGGTATGTGATCATCCCAATTCCCTTTAAAATCAATCACACAAGCCCTCAAGATATCTTTTAAGGTCTGAATAGTGTGCTCTGCTTGCCCATCTGTCTGAGGATGAAATGCAGTACTTAAATTCACCTTTGAACCCAAGCCTTTTTGGAATGACTTCCAAAACTGTGTAGTAAATTGCGCACCTCTGTCTGAAATAATGGAGACCGGAACCCTATGAAGTCTTACCACCTCTTGAAGATACAACTTAGCATAATCTTCTACCGAATGAGTAGTCTTTACTGGCAAAAAATGGCTGATTTTGTCATTCTGTCGAAAATCACTCAAATAGAATCATGCTGCCTG